ACCGGTATTTACTAGTGACCGGCGAATAGAAACACACGTTTATTGTCCGGTCTCTCCCGGTTTTGGAGTAGATGTTTGATATCGTTTCAGAAAAGAACCAATTTTTTACAGATAACTAAGCTTTTTTCCAAAATAAATGTTTGTCACTTAGTTTCTAACTCTATATGAGATAAAAACAATAAATATGTACAATAATTAAGCAAAAAGGTACATTTTTATGGTATTAATATGACACTATCAACTTTGAAACATTTTATTTAATTTGTTATTCGTGTTTAGTAAAGATGCCGAGGAATTTTTCAAAGTTACAAATTAGATTTTATGAATTTTACAATGGATTGATATTTTAAAAACTGATAAAGAAAAATACAAATGTACATGGTTTAAAAATAAAAAATATTATATATTGAAAGATTAACCATAATTTACTGACTTTTTCCAGTTAAGTTTTGACTTATAATTGTCAGTCAATATGACAATTGAATTCTTAAAATTTATTTTACAATTTTAATATAAACAAGAGGGCCATGATGGCCCTGAGGTCGCTCACCTGTATATAAGCCCCCCCCCCCCACCCCCAGGCCAATTTTTACCCAAGGGCTTTTATTTGTTTATTTGAACAGACTTGGTAGACACCCATAAGAAGAAGTTTCATGCTAAAACATCTAAGTTCTAGCTCATTGGGATTTTTAAAAGAAGATTTTTAAAGTTTTTACTATACACATATAGTTAAAAACAATGACACCCCTGGGGCAGGGCCAGTTTTGACCCCCAGGCCCCGTGTTCACAAAGATTTAAGGATCAGGATCAAGATCAGGATCAAATTAAACAAGAGCTGTCCGTAAGACAGCGCGCTCGACTTTTTTATTGCTTGCCAATAAAAAAAGTTTTTGCAGTAAAAGGCAATACAAGAATCTCTGTATTTTTAAAGTGAACAATGGCCATGAGCATTAAGATATTTAGTGAAGAATTATTTTACTGAATTGTGTGATACCCTTGAACACTGCAGCAAAGTTTGAAATGTTTAAGTCAAAAGAGGGCTGGTAAGAAAGAAAAAAAAACTAGTTGTTTGATACCCTTGAATATTACAGCAATGTTTTATATGACATAATTTATGGTAAAGTGAACAAGTGGATAGGAATGAATTTTTTAGATTTTTTAAGTTTTTTAGTGCTTGCCTATAATACAAAACATTGACAGTTAAGGGCCATAATTCAAATAAAATCTTTGACAGAATTACCTTCTCCTGGACATGTTTGGGAATCATGATTGTAAACAAGTATTCCAACTTTCAAATTAATATCTCAAACAGTTCAGTTCAAAAAGTGGACTGGTACTAAAAACTTAACCAAGATTCTAAGTCGATAAAAGGCCTTAATTTTTAAAACAAATCCTTGACAGAGTTACCTTCTCTTGCGTACAGATGGGGGTAATGATGTGAAATAGCATTAAAAGTTTCAAAGCAATATCTCAAAGGGTTAAGGCAATAAGTGGATTTTACCCATATTCAATGTATTTTCTAAGTCAAAAAGGGGCATAATTCTGTCAAAAACCTTGACAGAGTTATGTCCTCTTGTCTGTTGATGAAGGTCGTGATGGTAAACAAGTATGGTCAGTTTCAAAGCAATACCTCCAATGGTTTTGAAATAAAAGTGAGGTGGAACAAAAAACTTAACCAAGCTCAATACACTTTCTAAGTCAAAAAAGGGCCATAATTCTGTCAAAAACCTTGACAGAGTTATGTACTCTTGTCTGTAGATGGAGGTTATGATGGTGAACAAGTATGGTAAGTTTCAAAGCCATACTTGTAATACTTCTGAAATAAAGTGGGGTGGTACGAAAAACTTAACCAAGGTGTGACGCCGACGCCGACGCCGACGCCGGGGCGAGTAGGATAGCTCCCCTTTTCATAGAAAAGTCGAGCTAAAAACCCTAATATTCTTCATTGTTTATCCTCATAGATAAATATCTAATTATAAATTTGATAAAACTGGACCTGAAATAGCAAGTGTATGAATTTTAGAATAAATTAATTGTTAATTTTGCAAGATACGAGCATTTTACAGTTGATCCAAATATTGACCCTGATCCTAAAATTGATCCATATTTTGATCCAAATATTTTTGTATTTGTTTTGTTATTTGTTGATTTCATCCCAAAATAGTTTGTTTTCTTTGCAAATCAGCATATTTTTACAATTTGAATATTTACAATTTAATTCAACAAAACACAAATAATTTTAGTAACATTAAACAATGAAAATAAAATCAGGATCACTTGATCCTGATCCTGATCTTTTCTTAGTGAACACGGGGCCTGGCTTTTATTTGAACAAACTTGGTAGACACTCACTAGAAGATGTTTCATGCTTAATATCTAAACTATAGCTAATTGGGTTTTTTCATAGAAGATTTTTAAGTTTTTGCTATACACATATAAGGAAAATCAATGACCCCCCCCCCCCCCCCCGGCAGGGCCAGTTTTGACCCCAGGGCTTTTATTTGAACATACTTGGTAGACACCCATTAGAACATGTTTCATGCTAAATATCTTAGCTCTAGCTCTTTGAGTTCTTTAAAAGAAGATTTTTTAAGTTTTTGCGGCGGGGCCAATTTTGACCCCAGGGCTTTTATTTGAACAAACTTGGTAGACACTCATTAGAAGATGTTTCATGCTAAATATCTTAGCTCTAGCTCTTTGGGTTCTTTAAAAGATGATTTTTTAAGTTTTTACTATATGCATATAGGGAAAATCTATGACCCCCTGGGGCGGGGTCAATTTTGACCCCAGGGCTTTAATTTTGGACAAACTTGGTAGACATTCACTAGAAGACGTTTCATGCCAAATATCTAAGCTCTAGCTCTTATGGTTCTTTAAAAGAAGATTTTTTAAGTTTTTACTATATGTATATAGGGAAAATCAATGACCCCGGGGCGGGGCCAATTTTGACCCCAGGGCTTTAATTTGAACAAACTTGGTAGACACTCACTAGAAGATGTTTCATGCCAAATATCTTAGCTCTAGCTCTTTGGGTTCTTTAAAAGAAGATTTTTTAAGTTTTTACTATATGCATATAGGGAAAATCAATGACCCCCTGGGGTGGGGCCAATTTTAACCCCAGGGCTTTTATTTGAACAAACTTGGTAGACATTCACTAGAAGATGTTTCATGCCAAATATCTAAGCTCTAGCTCTTACGGTTCTTTAAAAGAAGATTTTTTAAGTTTTTACTATATGTATATATAGGGAAAATCAATGACCCCCTGGGGCGGGGCCAATTTTGACCCCAGGGCTTTTATTTGAACAAACTTGGTAGACACTCACTAGAAGATGTTTCATGCCAAATATCTTAGCTCTAGCTCTTTGGGTTCTTTAAAAGAAGATTTTTTAAGTTTTAAATATATACATATAGGGAAAATCAATGACCCCCTGGGGCGGGGCCAATTTTGACCCCAGGGCTTTTATTTGAACAAACTTGGTAGACACTCACTAGAAGATGTTTCATGCCAAATATCTAAGCTCTAGCTCTTAGGGTTGTTTAAAAGAAGATATTTAAAGATTTTTCTTTCGGTTGCCATGGCAACCAGAGTTCTGCATGGAATTAAATTCTTTGAACAATTTTTAAAGGTGACCACCAAAGGAACATTCCTGTGAAGTTTGGATGAAATTGGCTCAGTGGTTTATGAGGAGATGTCATTTAAAGCAAAAGTTTACGGACGGACGACGGACGGACGGACGGACGCCGGACGAAAAGCGATCACAAAAGCTCACCCTGTCACTTTATGACAGGTGAGCTAAAAAAAGAGTAGTAAACGTAAAAAACTCAGTATTAAAATAGCACATAAAACACAAAAAAGAGAGGAAAACAATATTCATAAAATCTGTATTTTTTATAATCAAATAGATATTACAATTATTGTATAATAAACAACATGCTCAACATGATCAACATGGTAATATAACCAGTGTCATATTTTTACTAAGTGTGAACAGATACCTTAAGAGGGGGTCTTCGCTAATAGCGATAACATAATAAGGACACTTTCTGCATTTCTTGCTTGGACGCCCTTTGATGCTTTGCATCAATGCTTTTCTTGTTATCCATTATAACGAAGCCAGATATTAACACAATATTGCATGTTTGAGCCTGTCGCTGGTTAAATCACTGGTCACATATGGCCAAGTGGATGTCAGACTAGTACTCTAAGGATTGCGATACCCATGTGGGATCAAAGCCATTGTTTCCTTCAGCAAGAAATTTAAATTCATTAAGAGTACAGTGGTTGGTTACAAGGATTGACATTGTGTCTATAAAATTAAAGCTCCTAGCTTCCTACACAATCAAACTTAAATAAATTCTATATATTTTCAAAGACAAATACTTTAGACAGATTTTTCAGGAACATTTTGTTAACCTTATAATCTAAGTATACCTACTTTTTCTTTGGTTTATTCACTGGTTCAGTTTGAAGTCTCTGTTCATTTTGTGATTCTCTTGCTAAGCAAGAAGACATCAGTTGCCCCATTGTTCACCGACAGGATTTGAACTCACAGTAGTGCAGTCAAGTGATTTTTTTAACTGACTAGTGCGAGCAAGTGATTTTTTTAACTCACAGTAGTGCAGGGCAAGTGATTTTTTGAACTCACATTTATAAGTGCTGCATGTGATTTTTTTAACTCACAGAAGTGCGGGGAAGGTAATTTTTTTAACTCACAGTAGTTCGGGGCAAGTTGATTTTTTTACTCACGGTAGTGTGGGGCAAGGGATTTTTTAACTTACAGTAGTGCAGGGCAAGTGTTTTTTTTTAACTCATAGTCGTGCAAGGGAAGTGATATTTTTAATGTAATTTGAAATCAGTGACCATAACCCAAGAGGACCCTCTTTAACAAGAACCAAAATATCCTAAGCATTTTTGTGTTAGAAAACTATGGAATAAATCAATTTTCAACTAAATGTCAAGGTCAATACATGTATCACTAAGCAAAAACTTCAGAACTCACCTGAAAGACCCTAGTCTACGTCCTCTAGGCACGAGGCAAAATGTTGCATTGTACAGTAACTTTTTGTAGTCATATCTGAAAATAGAAATAAAATTGACGTATATAAAAAGTAAAATATCATGGTAATTATGAGTTAAATACAAAGATTTTAAAGTCTACTGACTCTTAATGGCTTTACCAGCCATATTGGAATTTCTTGAAATAATGATGACACAGTGGAAAACACCCTCTCATGATCAAAATTGGTATTACGGGAAATTTCTGATCATTGGGAACAGGTATAACATTTTAACCAGTCTTTAGAAAGAATATGAAATAGAGGGATAACAATTTTAGAAGCCCTAATTTTCACTATTGTGCATGCGCGTTTAAACTTTTTAAACTTTCATTCATTAATTTAATGGTATCCTAGATCAATTTTCTAAAAATAAGTAACCAATGATATATAGTATACTCAGCTGGCTCCAGGCCCCAGCAATGATCTATATTGGTGGCATAAGCAAAAAAATTATTTCAACATGTGTTCCGAAAGTTAATTTTGGTAGTTAAAAAGTATTATCAAATATATCGACAGATAATTTCAAAGTACATAACACTTAACATAACTCTGTAACCTTACAGTCTTGTTCTATCAGTAAATACCTCCACTTAATCCTCTCCTTGACGATTTCCTACCGATTTCCTACAATATTTAACACCTTCTGAACTGTACTTGCTGAGAATTTTTAGTATTTCATTTCCCTCAATCTGAACACAGAACAATAATTTTTGCACCCTGTACACTGACTGGGAGATGCCTGCCAATTTTACGCCAAACATTGTTGACAGATTTAGATAATAATTTTTCAAACAGGTGTTACATATATAAAATATAAAGCATTAAATTACCACAGGAAAAAAAATCATTACTTTAAAACAGTAGAAGATCTATTAACACCATGATTTGGTTACCTATGATATGAACTGTTATATTTTGGAACATTTTCAACACCTCTGTCAATAATAACAAATTTTTCATCAAGTATTTTATATTTGAATATTTCAGATATAATTGTAGAGTGTATAATAATTATAGATGATTCAAAAGAGTTTACAGTTCACGCATTTAAATGGCAATTAAGCCAAGACCACTATGATGTCACTCAGTGTCCAATGTGATATCATGATTAATTATTGTACAATTAAAAATAATCAGCAGCCATATTGAGCAAAAATACAAGCCACCAAATTGGCATTTTCTAAAAATAATGATATAACACTAAAAAGTCATTTTCGAAGCTATCAAATATTACACCTGAATGTCTTGGGTTCGGTTGTTTTTTGGGGGTTTTTTTTGTCAGGAACAATATTCAAGTAGAATGTAAATGTGATTATTAACAGGGTATGGGTAGCTAAGGTGATAATGAGAACACATCATTCATTTATTTCAAGTGAAGTCTAACTGACACACTGAAATTTTGAAAAAGTGCCATGGCTTGATTCTTTGATAAATCATATAACTAAACATAATAAATCAGTACTTCAGGTGACCATAAAACAAAATATGTCAGAAAACTACTGTTTATGAAAACATTTTGAAATGATAATTTCTAAATGCTTAGTGATATCCAACATATGAAAATAATACCAAAAGGTCACACACACTTAGCCCTCATAATATTGCTATAGCCAAGAAAACTGTCAAGGAAAAGCCTAAGGCGCTATCTAGGAACAGTCAAAGTTTATAAGGAACAGTCAAAGAACAAGGAGATTTTTTTAGCTAAGGATCAACACAAAACAGCTAAGGAACAGCCTAGGATCAGTAATAAGGAACAGCCTATTAGGACAGTTTAGGCAAGTAAAGGAAAAAGGAAAAGTTAAGGAAGTCTAGAAACAGATAAGAAACTGCCAGTGAACAGTTAAGGAACATGATTCAAGTAACAAAGAACATTTACAAAACAGTTTGGAAACAGTCTAAGAACAATAAAGGAACACTCAAAGAAAAGGAACAATCTCGGAACAAGCAATGTATAGTCAAAACAGTCAAGGAATAGTCTAGAAACAGTCAAGGAACACTGGGTTCATAAAGCCTGCATGTGTCCATTTCCAATATTTTCTCCATAAATACAAACACTGCCTTTAAAAAAAATTCAAGTTACAACCTTCAAAATGATAAAGTTACACTCAATTCAATGTAATTTTTTTCTTTTCAAAACAAAATTTGATATAATATCAATTTAATTGGATAATACTTTAATAGTTGAAAAATTGGTCTTTCCTTACAAATTATAAACCGTCATATTAAACAAACATAAAGTAATATCAATAATTAAATTCCACCTGTAAGATATCGCACTATATTTTTCATCGAATATATTTACGCGTCATTCACTGCGAACAACGTATCACTGTGCATTTCCTTAGATACAATACAACTGCTATTTCATTATTGAAATTGCATGCACGCAACGCGACACCTTGAAATTAAAATTCAGCTATCTAAAAGGGAGATTTAATTAATTCTATTTCTCTCAACAATGCATCTTTATATTTAGGGTAACAATCTTAAAATCTATAAATTTGCAAGTTCAGACTAAACTCGCCAATTGAAGTATCATCCGCACCTTTAAAATGATGCTCAGCATATTTTATAACAACATGGATCACACTAAACATAAAACCAATCTGCAGTTAATAGTTACCTTTACAAATATTTCAAATCAGAGCAAAATCCATTATATAAATTAAACAGGTTGTAAGGGCTTATTAAGTCTGGATTTCAAGCCACTTTCCTCTTACTCACTCAGCTGTGGGTTTGATTCCCACCACGGACTTTGGATTCTTTCATGTGAGGCAGCTTAATTCCAGCTTACTTATGGAACATCAATGGTCCTACTCAGATGATTAAATAATGCACTTGATAAGCTAGAAAGTCAGCATGACTTTTATAGTGTTGACCCCTTTGGGTCAAGACCATGCTTCCTTGGTATGATGAGGTCCAGCCATAAAATAAACTGGGATAAGAAGTAATACCTCTTTTTTTTAAATAGAACAAAAATAAACAAAAGGTTTCAAAAAATTAATAAAAGGTTTAGACAAATTATTTTTTAAAAACTCTTTAAAATCCTGTATTAAGTATATTTAATGATAAACATACCAAAAATGTTTGCACCCAGATTATACTCTTGATTACTGCAAATGATCTAATTACTATGTTGTGATCGTACATAAGTGAAGTAAGGAGCCAATTTGTAGAACAATGCATTTTAATGAGGAGTAATGCTGCAGTAATTAGCAATTAGCATAATAGAGTGGAGTAAAGAGGAGTCTCATCAATTAGTGATAAACAGGTAGCGAAATAATGAGAGGTAGTTAGTTAAATGTAAACAACCTTCTGTGTATTAAATAATGATACTCATCAAGATAATTAAAGCTCACTTTGTCCTAATTTATTGTAACTTTTCAACCACCTCAAGGTACACTTTCATTATGCACCTGGAGAAGGCCAAACATATGTCTTAACTTTTGGTTTGTCATACCCAGGAGACCTTTAAAATATTGTGTAAAAGCTGAAAAGAATTCCGATGTAGGGCTGTCTTTGATTATTCATTATTGTGATATTGATATATCATTGATATACAATATTTGGTTCAATATTGATTCACAAATTCAAGATATCAATACAATTTAAAACCCTGATTTCTCCTTGTATTAAGCAAATATGAGCCGCATCACGACAAAACTAACATAGTGCGTTTGCAACCAGCATGGATCCAGACCAGCCTGCGCATTCGCGCAGTCTGATCAGGATCCATGCTGTTTGCTATCAGTTTCTATACTTGTGAAAGGGTTTGTAAGCGAACAGCATGGATCCTGATCAGACTGCTCGGATGCGCATCCGCGCAGACTGGTCAGGATCCATGCTGGTCGCAAACGCATTACGTTGGTTTTGTCGTGACGCGGCTCATATATGAAGAGAAAAATCAAAATCCCCTCCCTCCCTTTTTCTTGGCTAAACTGAATTGAGAATTAGACATTTAAAGGTGAGTGAGAAGTAATGATAAGAAAAGATACTTTCTTTAAATATGTTGTATTTGTGATGACTAAAACAAGCATGTGTAACACCTATAATGATACACATACACACTCCACTCTACTACAATGTAACTATTTAATTTGATATATTAATATATATCAGAGCAATATTTGGGTTTCATTATATCAATACAAAATATTCAATCAATCACAGCCTTATTCAAAGTTAATATTTGTTAATTATCTATATTTAATTTGAATGAATTCAATTTATAAGTCATCATCCCTGCAAGGTTGATGAGTATCACTCAAACCCATGACCACTAGGTCTTTTAATATTGCAAACATGTAGGATTTTAAGTAAAAGCCTCCAAAGCCCAGCGAAAAACTCACGGCCTTAATATTTTTTTTATCCAAAATAAAAAGAGACTGCACAGACAAGAAACGCAAGATAAAATTCAAACTACCTTTATATTTCTTTTTTTTTATCTAAATAAAAAAGGAGAACAACTTAATAACCTTCCCTTATATGGAACCTATCTCATCTCAGCTTACCTACTTAAGGTGCAGCGTAATCATTAAAACATTTATCAGTCTGGCAACTTTAATTTACGTAAAAATTGTCAACAAATCAAACAAACAGACAGGACCAGTTTTCACCTTCTTATCAATACAACCTATTCACGTCGTGTTTCAAACTCAACGATGATGGAAATAAAATGCACGATAAAACATAGAAAACAAACACTTCAAAAAGAAGTTTTTTTCTCTCTCCATGAAGTTTTATTTCATAATATTAAATCTTGAATCACCTTTCGCAAAGACTCAATTGTTCCTCACTTGTACTCCCAAAATTTATTTTCCTACGTAATTTATTCACTGCAATGTTTATAAATCAACACGTAACTTTTTTGTTTACCTCATCAAAATGCATGACTCATTGATACGTGTGCGACAATGAAGAAACAGTTTTCAAAACCTTTGGAAATTTTTTTTTAATTTAAAAACAAAAACCCAGGGAGAAAAACTTTAGAAACAGAAAAAAATATGACGCAAACTTC